TTCTCCATTTGCTATACAATATTATTAATTTCTATTGTTAAATGAAAAAGATAATTAAAAAAATAAAATTTTTACTAGCCTATTATAATTTAAGTCATTATGATAAAGTAGTAATTGCTTGCAAATATAATTCTCAGGTTAGTTAAATTACATCAAATATCTTTCTATAAAAAAAAATTATTAAGGTAGAGTCATATAAAGATAATGAATGTTTATACTTGTATCTGTATACCGATTAGATAGTGAACTTATGGTTGATGCTTAGTTAACAATAACCTTATTTATAATTAAATAAGTCATTTATGCACTTTTTTTTTTATTCTCACATGAAGTTGAAAGTGGGCAAAACATATATTTTTTAATTATTAATTTATACACTAAGAAAAATAGAGTAATTTGTTATTTATAGTCGAATCATGGAGACTCAAGTAAATACACAAATTCAATTAAAAATCTGTTTCCTATGAGTATTAACTTACAATTCCTTGTAACAAAAAACCATATATATAAATATATAAATATATATATATAGAGAGAGAGAGAGAGAAAGGCAAGAAATGAGAGGGAGAGTAAAAATGAAAAAGTGAAAAAAACTTGAACTCTTTAGTGTGTGAGACATGAAAGAAAGCAAAAAAATATAAAAATATGAATTTCACACATTAAGAGTATGTTTGGAAAAATATTTCAAGAGCTTAAAAACTTATTTGACTAGCTTATATATTTATTTGATCGAAATAAAATTATTTGGTATAAGAGTTTATATAAATTTATTATTTTAGGAGATGATAATTTTTTTTATAAAATATTTAAAATAATTTATTTTTATGTATATTTTATCTAACTTATTTTAAAGAAATAAAAAATTAGTTTTTATTAATTTAGTTAAAATAAATTCACAATTTAAATATTTTTTTACACCATCATCCAATTTAATATTTTATGTATAGTAAGATATTATTAACTTTGTAATAATTAAAATTCATTTTCAGGACAATTTCTGTTTGGTTAATAGCGCAAAAATCATCATATTGATAATATATGAAACTTAAACTTTTATTAACCCTACCATATTTTTCGCTTATAGATTGGATAAACTTTAAAATGGAAAGTATCTTGTACTTCATCATTTTCCTTCTCTTTCATTTTGTGTTTATCTAATTAAATTATTTAGAAGCGCATCCCCAAGAAGAAAGATACACTTGTGAGAACTAATTATAGTTTCTCCATATATACAACAATGATAGAACAAATAGTTATTATATAAAAATCACCACATTCACTTTCTCCTCCCATGCAATAATTAAACCAAGAAACGGTAATGACTATTAATTATCTTACCGTGATGACTAAGTAATTCCACGAGATAAAACATGAGGGAAAAGTCATAAACAAAAGGATGCATGTTAACTTTAGGAGATTCTAAAACGCATCTTCATAAGTGGAAAAGTGTAGTATCATAGAACTAAACTTGTAGAAGCATCAACGTTTTGTTAGTTCGACAACTCTACATTTTTTATTATGGTAACCGCAATGTTTTCTTGTTGTGACTTGCTTGACAACTCTACATTTTTTATTATGGTAATCACTAGTTTTCATTATAATCAAGGAAAATGAGTTCTGATATGGAGAACATGGATTAACTAGTGTAGGATTATTTTAACTCAAGTAGTGATGTTGAGTTTAAATCTTTAGTATTTAACTATATATCGTTAAATGTTTGTTTGGATAATTTCTTTTCATAATCAATTATAAGAGAAGAAATTAAAAAAATGAAAAAGGTTTATCCATAAACTAAAATAAGTTTTAGTTCATTACCAAAGAATATTTTCTGTCCAATATGGAGAAAATCTCTCTCAAGAATTTGGCATAAGTTAAAAAACAATTTAGATAAGTTAATTAATATAATCGTCAACAACAATCATTTCCTGTAACTACCAACTACACGACCCACTCCCAAAGCGCCTTTCACGGGAAGAAGAAAAATCACTCTCACCTTGATAATTCTTCAAGTCGAAATCATTTCAATGACAATAGTGAGGGTTCCAAATATCCAATTCTTGTTTACCAGTATTGTGATCGTAGAGGCCACACAACCAAAACATGTTATCGTCTTCATGGCTACCCAGCTGATCATCCTTGTCATCAAGCTAATCATTAGGTCAATGTTGTCAATTGCAACGATCAACAATGACGGATCCACGTTGTGAAAAGTGAGGGCACTTGCCCCCACTACTATTTGACACATACATACTTTTTTATCCAAAAAAATAATATATTTTAAAAAATAAATATTATATTATAATAAAATAAATATATATGTTTA